TTGACCAAACTGCGGAGCGCATCAAAAGCCAGCGGGCGTGAGTTTTTATATATATATATATATTGTATATGAATCGAAGGCAGGGTAGGCCGCGACAACGCCGACTGTCCACCAGTGTGTGTGATATGAAATCGTCGGCTAAGGCCGAGAAGCCACCCTACTGTCCTTGCAGAACCCTAGAACTTGTGCCAAAGGGCTTCCAAAGCTATTAGGTTGGAGGCCATTGCTACTAGTAGCAAGAAGCTACTAGGTTGGAGGCCATCTTGGAGGAAAACCGATTGGTAGAACTATGGTTTGGGCTTGACTGGATGGCCGATGTACGGCCCACGGTGGTGGACATGCTAGCACCTCATATGGCACCAAAGATTCTCAAGACGAAGACACCTTTTCTGCTCCTTTGTTATGCCAACTCACTCTGTCAACGCATCAGTGTCAAGTTGCTCCGTTTTGCATGTTACTCCAGGCCGTTGGCAAAGGGAAGGCTCGATGGCCGTTGCTGTCGCTGTTCTTTTATGTATATCAAAGTTATGCACTTGCTTGAAAAAAAACGTGAATCTCAGAGATTGACATGTTTCTATTGGTTCGACAGTATTCAGTATGCCTCGTGGGGTTGAGTGGGTCCCGCAATTCTTCAACAACTTGTCCTGCTGCTTTGTGTGCTATTGACTGTGACGTCAGCGAAACTAAATGTGTTTAGTGGTTGCTTAGCTTCTGTGGTGTGAATTTCAGTGAGTTGGCAAGATTGACTCATGACTGCATGCGCGCGTGAATCCTTTCTCCAAGCCCCCAAACCTGATTCTGGGTGGCTGCCGCCAAGTCACCCACAGACAGAGTTGACTCTGTTTTTACAGTACGCGGCGTATCAATTCAATGCAAGAAGTTGGGCCCACTCCACTTTGGCATGTCTCAGGTACTTACCACTTACTGGCCTGAGGATGAGAAAGACAAGCCTGTGATCATTGACGGGCGTGTTCTTCATGATGATGAGTCTGCTGTCGTCCCTGGGACCAAACGTATACAGCAAAAGGTTGGGGCTTCCACTTCCGCAAGAGTTGCGTGTTATATAGACTTGCCATTCTCATTGTTTTCCCAATCCAAGAGTCCCAAACGACAACTTTGAGCTTTGGAATTTTGGTCAAAAAGAGTTCTCGTTGGCGTCTTTGAGGTGGTTTACGACAATCCTTTAGACAATGTGGGGGACCTGGCGCACATTTTCTTTCAGCGATGCCTGGAGGTCTGGCGCTAGGTCATTTTACCATCTCATTCCTGTTTGGATGATGTTTTTGAGCTGAGTGAAGCTCCTTGCCAGGCAAACATCGTCCCATATGTCGTGACAAAGAAGATCCTTCGCATGCAAATTTGCAGGTCTTTGATTCTTTGATGTCAGAGGTGTTTGAAGTGTCACACCTTCAAGACACCGAGGACTGTTTTCAAATGGCAAGAAGGCTTCTGGCAAAAGATGAAGAAGGTCTTTGATGCTGAGTACAAGGACCCAAGAGGGAACGTTCTTATGGCGATTTTCTATTGAGTCTACTGGGCTAGTGGAATATGTACTTTGTATGTCCCAGCAGTGCCTCAGCATGCAGCCTTGCCAAGTTGCTTTCGAGATGAGGACAAGTTCTTGAAGGCAGGTCTCTTGGACAAATGCGGGGGTGAGCTGATCCATCTCATCAGTGTTGCTTGGCTGCAAGTGCAGGCCATCCTATGTTATATACAGTTCTTGATTTAGCAAGCTTAAAAAAAAAGACACTCCCGGCTTGTGATGTTAACTGCTGAACCCAAGGATGCTGCCACCATGCAGATCATCCGCTGGAGCGTTCACAACTTGAGAGTTTGTGCTTGACAAAACTGGTCAGTGTCCGAGTGGAATGACTCATGGAATGCCTTTTTTTGCTAGCGAACAGACAGTGTTTAGGTGCAATGTGTTGAGGTGGGGAAACAGCCAATACAAAAGGATATCCAGGATATATATATAACTTTACGGACAGATTGGTGTAAGTCGAGACAAGTCATGGGATGACAGTGGTAGGACCGGGGGTGGCTTTGGCATGGCATGCCACAATTACGATGGTGACATGCTGACGGATGAGGTGGCGCAGGTGCGGGCGAGTCGAATTCTTTCGGAGAGCAGCATGTCTTCATGGATGAATGATAAAGGCTTTCCTGCTAGTCCTTTCTATGAAACTCTCAAGAAAACAATGAAGACTCTTGAAGAGAGGTGCACCGGAGCCCGGGCTTTATCACCTCGCCACTTGACTAGACCATAAGCCTTGAAGTTGAAGCAAAGCATCCAGACATATGCCACATGCATGAAGATTTGGTGCCAGAAGGGCCAGAAGTTGGACGAACTCACAAAAGTTAGGTGCAGACTGTGCAGACCAATTGAGAATGTGGTACCAATCTGAACCGTTGAAGCAGGCTTAGGGCAAATCGATGCCTGGAATCCTACATGACATCATATTTGTCGGAGTCGATTCTGACCACGACAAGTTCTCGCTGTTAAGAATGTCAAGAGCTCCTATAAATTGCAGTGTCGCATGCTCAGGAACTTGGTTGGCAAGAGCGAGGATGGTTCTCTCATCAAAGAGTTTGAAGCCTCGCACGGGACAGTCACACGGAACAAACTTGGGGCCGGTTGCGGATACAGCGCCACCAAAGCGTCATACTGGCTTACGATGACATGGTGAATTAAGATAAGTGAGCAGATCTTGCACGGCAGATGGCAGGCTATTTGTGGGTCTACCAAAATACATTCATATAATTACATTCTATTTTAGGTTTGGGACCAGAGAGTACATGCACCTCCCTCACGAGAATCTTTTTGACCCACGTTATGTGTTCTTCGCCCATCCCAGGTGGCAGATTTGTGGCACATGCACTTGCGTGGGGAGGATCGCCTGTCTGTTTGATTGTACGAACCCCGCGTGGGTTTGAGATCGATTCGACGAATTTGTTGCTGACCGTTGGTGGTTGTCATTGATGGAGTTGCTGGGAATTGCTCACGTACACCTTGAATGCTAAGTCAGGGCCACAGCTTTGGTATCCTGTATATAGTTGGTGCTTGGCATGTCCTGGTTGTTTGGATTTGCGATGCGACGATGTCTGGTCTTATTTCTTATTTCTAGCCTCAGGAGACCTCCATGAACCCCTTGGGCATGGTTGTGGCTCTGCAGCTGGGCTGCACAAAGGCACGAGGAGAGATGCCTTGATACAGAAAGTTTCTGCAATCCCAAAGAAAGGCCCAGCTGTTTTTTCTGAAGAGGTCAAGCTTGTAGAACTGCTGAACCCGCCGTGCTGCCCCATTTCAAGATTCGTCCACTGGCCTTTGCATGCCGGCACTCCCAACAGCATCAAGGGTTGTTTCTAGAAATCAAGCGTTGTTTTTTTCCCGTAAATAGCTGTGTCAGTCTTGGCCTTTCGTTTCCGAGCCTTGTTTGGCCTTGATCAGCCATTTCAGCGTGCAATGAGAAGGTGCTGCGTGCTACATGAAACCATGAGCCGCAGGTGGTTTGTGACCGTGGAACCAGTGCGGATCCCTCTAGATCTGAGGTTGGGTGCAATGGATCACGCTGCTGTCACTCGACTCAAGTTCTTTTCCACCACAGAGAAACCTCTGCCTTGCTCGGGGTGGAGGGTGGACAAGTCAGTCATGTTTTGACAGATGACCATAGACCATAGATGAGTGAGTTGTTTGTTTGTATCTTGGGTCTTTCGTTTGAGACATGAATGAAGTGAGCAGGCATCTACCGTATGTTGCATTCCAAGCGTAATTAGTGCCTAAACCTCAAAGCGATATCGCAGCTTTCAATGCGAAGGAGGAGACCTCAGAGTAATTGACTGCCTCGCCTGGAGCCACAACCTTTGATGTTCCATCAAGTCTGTCTCAAGTTGGGATTCTTGAGGCGCTCAACCCTGCTTCACAGGCAGAAGTCACCAAGTTCCTTGGCGCAAGTGTGGAACAAGAACCTGCACCACACAAACTCGAACCATGTTCAAGATTAGGTTGGAGGCCATCATCTCTCTTAGGTTGCTCAAGATTAGGGACTGCTTTCTCACAGGTTCACGGTGAGCTGCAGGGAGGCCGTGTACGAAGCCTTCCGCACTGGCAACGGCACCCGCGACCTCGTGGGCCCCAACGGCCTCACCACGGAGAAGTTCGTGGAGCCAAGAAAACATTCAAACAACATCCATTTCTTTTTGCTGCAAGAACGTATTGACTGTCGACTTGAAAGATTAACACCGATTCAACTGGCAACATATAAATATAGCATTGAGATGTTGGTCGCTGTCATCACTCTGGTGGCAGTCTCTTACAGTGCTTCATGGCACTTGAGCATCTCAGTTTGTGACCACATCAGCTGTGGCCGCAGGAGTGGGTTGCCAAGAACTTGGAGGCCCGCATGGCCAAGGAAGGTCCAGCAGAAGTCTTCACGGGCGAGGAGGCCAGTCAACAGGTGGTGTAGAAACGGACTTTCAGCTTAATGGCTCCAACAGGGACTTATATAATATACTTCACAGGCAAACGAACTCATGAGGCCATGTTCAAGGACATTTTATCCCATAATTGGCAGACCACTGGGTCCTCTTTCAAGAGGGGCAAATTAGCTATTAGCTATTAGCTCCCCTTGCAGCTCAGGTGCAAGTCACTCAAGCTCCATCGAAGAAGCTCCGGAAACGGTATCAGGCCTGTTTCGTCCGCTGACTTCGCAGGTCTGAAAACCGCCGCGGGGAAACTGATCTGGTACTTTAGTTCAGCCTCGCTTGGCCCGTTGGCCCCGTGGTGAGGCTGTTGATGAAGATGCCATGAAGGCCTTTTTCGACAAGTTCGACACAGATGCCAATGGCACGATCTCCTTCGACGAGTCGCCTGACCCGGAACCGGGGGGAACTGTTTATGATTCCTGCATATCTCCTGAAGTCCAGCGAACCCAAACTCTAGGTCACATCGTTTGCCAAGGTTCGTGGACATGACCTTGGACCTGGGCATCGCACCACTAAAGCCTGAAGAGCTGAAGAAGGAAGAGCAGCGTCACTCGTAGATCTTGGAAGGCATGACCCACAGGGAATACGATAGTCTGGATAGGACCCTATCCTTAGATCAACCTTGCCACTCTTCTAATATGTGCAATGACATCTTTTGTTTTGTAGCATTTTGAGTGGATTCTCAGGCAATGTCTACCATCATGTTTGCAGCCTACTCATTTTTCTAATAAACAAGTCAGCTCGCTGCTGACATATTTACACTCATCTCACAAGCCAAGAAGTCTTCCCGCTATGCTCACAAGTCAATCTTGTGACGTAACATGCAATGCATGCATGCATGCATGCATACATAAGCTGCTCAAGCAGGTAACCAACAGAGGACAACAAACCCATGCCCAGGCCATCCTTGAAAGATGAAGCAATGGCACAAGCAGCACAGTTGCCACCCATCACAATAGGACAGCTGGCCATACCGGATCGAGCATGCGGCCTCTCAACACAACTGATCCGAAATGCTCCACCACATGCACTACCAGCACTTCACAAACTGATTCAGGAGATGGAAGCCACCGCCACCCTCCCCACCCAACTTCAGATGAGTTTGGTCATGCTTGCAAAGAACGAGAGAGTCGAGAGACCCATCACACTTACCAGTGTCCTGTACCGCACCTGGTGCAGACTCCGCAAAGGACTGCTTGACCAGTGGCAACTGGAGCTTCCACACCACATGGACTACGACCGAGCCAGACCCGGAGCAACCGCACTTCATGTCGCCTTGGAACGGTTGCTCAGGCAGGAGAGCAACAAAACCCTCGGCAAACATGGCATTACAGTCTTGCTGCACATGACACCATTGACCTGACCAGACTTCAGCAAGTCACTCAAACCCTCCAGTACCCAACCATTTCATTGGAGTTTGCCATGCAGGCGTAACGGGGCCAAAAGCAGTCCTGGTGGATGCTGAACTCAGCCAATGGTTTCATGTCACCAGGGGCATGGCAGCCGGGTGCCCTCAAGCACCCTTGCTAGCCAAGACTTTCCTCCAGCCCATCCTCAGTCCCTTCCAACAACAGCACTCAGGGCTGCATCTCAATGGATGGGTCGACGACATCGGGTTCGATGGAAGCCACAATGACCCACAGGTTTTGGCTCAAAACATCATGAAGGCGTGGCAGGATCTCAGCCACCAACTCCAAGAAGCTGGCCTCAAAGTTAACGACCAGAAGACGGCTTTCATTGTCACAGACAAGGCCACGTAGCGAGCCCTTGAGAAACTCCTAGGGCCAAATGGCCCACCCGTCCAAACAGTGATGAGGGATCTTGGCATCGACCATCAAGCAGGGAGACGCCGGAGGATTGCCACCCTCCAGAGCAGATTCAAGAAAAGCAAGCAACGAAGGCTCAAGCTGCGGACGCTACGCCTCCCCACGCTCAAGGCTCAAGACGCGGCTACCCCAAAGCACATCATCTGGATGACCCATCCCCATCCCATGGACAGAGCGGGTTCAAGATCCTCTGCAAAAGCCACTCTGGGCCTACGCTTGGATCCCGAAGGAGCTACAAGACCACCTCACCGATCATCAGGCTGGAGGGACCACTGCAGCCATGGCAGGGCCTCTCAGTCACAATAGACGCCGCGCCGACTTCTGCCGACCCAAGGGCGCAGGCATGGATCTGCTCTGCAGCGCAAGGGCACCATCGCGGGCGTGGCCAAAGGTGCACAAACCAAAGCCTGCGCGCTTTTCCAGGGCCTGTTGACACTGGCTCAGTTTGTCCAGACTCCAACCTGGGTCGTCGTCCAGCTCAGTGCGGTGTGGGAAGCTTGGGCAAATCCAGGAAAGAGGAAAGGCTTCCACGATCTACACCCAGATCACCCCGCTCTACGCGCGCAAGAACCACCGGACACCAGGCAATGAGCCACATCTCCGCAACGCCAACGTGATGCAGCCCTGGCAGCCTGGGAAAGGGCTACACAAATACATAATCCTGATGCAGAAGCATGGCAGCGCACCCTGGACCAGGATCACTACGAGATCTACCAACATGCTGCCCACAGATTGGAGACAATCTATGCTGACAAGGACCACTATGTGCGCAGCAAACCTGGCCGAGCAACAGGCCACAAAACAAAACAGCGCAAGAAGAACCTGATTGAGCAATGCAAGCAGCCCTGGCAACAAGGCAAGCACCAGTGGAAGCCCCGCCGAAGCGGGTATCAGTGCCATACTTGCCACACAAGAGTCCACCAGGGCTTGACTGCTACCACCATAGAGGCCCGCCTCCAAGAAGACTCAGCGACCAACAGGAACATCCTTTGCCAGTACTTCACTACAAGGGGCAGACATGCGCTTGGAATGGCGGCCACCAAGAATCCCACCAATGAGGGCGTTCAATATTTCGTTAATCTGAGCAAGAATCCCCCCGATGCTCCTACATTGACCTCGACCTCCTCCACTGGAAGCAGTATAAAGACTCCCCGTCGACTGAACTCGTGATGCATACCATCCAACATCAAGCCACTGAAGCCCACCTTCAGGCCAGACATAAGGAGCGCTCCAATGCCATCAGTGGCTGGTCCAAGGGGAGGCGAGAGAGGATTCTTCAGATGCCTCAAAGCATCAGAGCTTGCCTGGCAACGACTACGACCACAAAGGATGAGCGACTGGGGAGCATTGTGGCCTTGCGGCAAATACGGGCCAACAGAGAACCGCTGCCACTGCCAAATGCAGATCGCCTCCCACCTAAAGCCAAAGAGCAAGAGCGGTCAATCTTTGAGAGATCTCACTATAGGCCATCTTGCCCACGTACTCAAGCACCTTCCTGACAGGGCAGCCGGACCGGATGGCGTTCCCACTCAGCTCCTTCGAACGGCGCCACCAACTGCCCACACAGGTGATCCAGAGCCTCATCGTGATGTTGCCCTAAAACGAGAAGTGTGAAGTGTGAGCGTCCTATCACACTCACCTCCACAGTGTACCGCCTGTGGTGCAAACTCCGCAAAGATCAATGGCAGCTCCAGCTACCTTTCAGCATGAACTACGACAGGGCCAGACCAGGAGCCCAACACCTACGCGTCACTTTGGCCCGTTTGATGAGACAGGAGATCAACGAGAACAGGGGAAGACATGGCATCACCATCTTGATGGACATGAGTACCTTCTACGACTGTATCGATCTTCGGACCTTGGCCTCTGCAGCGCGCGACCTTGGATATCCTAGCTCCACACCAGCCCCAAAGCCGTTTCGGCAGAAGAAGAGCTGTCTGAGTTTTTCTACACTCAGAGCGGAATAGCAGCCGAATGTCTCAAGCGCCCCTTTTGGCCAAAGCGTACCTAGCTCCGGCTTTCCCCTCCTGTGTCAAAAGATTTCCCCAAATCCAGCTCAATGGATTGGTTGACGACATTGGCTACGACCTCGAGGATGACGGCCCAGAGGGCAGCCCAGCTGGCTGTGGGAGGGACCTCAAGTCCAGACTGGACCAGCTGGGACTACGTGTCAATGCAAAAAAGATTGCTTTCGTCACCGGCGCTCAAGGCCACGGGGCCTGAGGACCCACCTATAGCACCGGTCACCGGGCATCGACCACCAAGCGTGCGGATTTCGTAGAATTCCTGTCCTCAAGAGTCGATACAGAAAGCTGAGACTCGGCTATGTGGGGCGTCGAGGCACAAGGACTTATTGCGCCACGATACCGAACAGCGCAGAGGCCTGCTGGACGTGGTCTACGATCTCCATGCCAAGCGCTACCAAGACCCTGATGATCAGATCATCATCAGCCACGTCAAGGCTTTCAAGGAGCTCCTCGATGCCTGGCCTGACGACCAGCGGCCGTGCCGCCCAGGCCTGGAACCAACTCCAGGAGCATCTACGACGACAACAACAACAACAACATCCCTGGTATCAGGTCAAAGGCCATGGCAGCTGTCATCACCTACATGTGGGAATGGCAACGCCAGCTCACCGAGCCCCATCTTTGGCATCGTTGCCTACAAGACTACGGCCCAGCCTGGTGGAAGATAGAGGCAACTCTTCGTCAGGAGGCAGCGTACCAACGCTTGAGACGCCTGAGACAGCGCAGGCACTGTCCGCAGTGCATCTGTACCATGAGGTGATCCGCAAGCAGGGAGATGACAAATGCCCACTGTGCCATGACCAGCAACATCGAAGCACATTATCTGGCCACGCAAGTGGCACCATGGCCAAAAGCAAACAGCCTTATACCCATCTCCTGGACGGAAAGGGTCAACAACCACGACGAAGAGCCACTTTGGGCGCGAGGATGGATCAACGACGCCGGGTCTGATTCCTTGAAAGGGCATGGGCTGTGGCAACACCTTGAAGTACTTGACCTGGCCGCGCATCAGGGCTATGCGGTCACAAAAGATGCCACGTACGATGTCAGTCTGGGTAGGCTCAGCGGCATTGCAGGGCAACCATTCAGCCCACAAACCAAGGCCAGAGCTCTCTACTATGGGCTACACGCGCTGGCGCAACACACCACCCAGACCACGAAGATTGTGGTCCAAATGGACTGGCGCCAAACGTCATCATCCCTTTCCTGACCTCCACCAGTCAGCCAACAAGGCCAAGGTCATTCCCTTGTACGTCAGTGCCAGGAATACCAGACAAACGTCTATGCCCAAGCTGGAGAGAGGATCTGCGCCATTTACGAAGATCCTTCCCACTACATCCATGACAAGCCCACTCGCTCCAATGCCACCAATACCAAGCAGTACAAAAGCGGCTTCCAATGTGCCCTGTGCAGTACCAGAGTTCAGCAAGGCCTCACGGCAGCACTTCTTGAACAACGTCTGAGCCAGACCAGCAGGACACCACAAGGGAACACCTGCTTGGTCCAGATCATTCAGGAGCTCTTCAAAACCAGCCTGAGACAGGGCAGACTGGGCAGCGCCACTTCATTGAGACCAATGGGTACCTGAAATGTCAGCGTTGTGGCTGTGCCATCCTTAAAAGATCCAAAGAGCCGGCGTTTTCTGAGTTCATTGCAAGTCCTTGCATTGATCAGCCATACAGCAGCGCATCAATTGGCCATGCCACCCATCTCTTGTGGCAGCTTGGCAACAAGGTCACGCGCAAACACTGCGGTGTGGCAGTGCTGACCGACAAAGACAATCGCCTGATTGTCAATCAGGCATTGAAGAAGGAATGCCAAGGGGCGCCAGTCAAACAAAGGCCTGGGCTGCGGACATACTTTCCCACTCAGCTGTCCACCAGCCCCGCTACTCCGACCAGGGACAGATCCAACGTCCGGAACAACCCAAGTCAGGAGGAGAGGGTGCAGCGCCTGTGTTAGCTCTCCAGCCCCGCACGCTCGTCCCGCTAAAAGAGAACGGCCAATACACCAGAGCGAGCCAGCGCCTGATCCGCCTGATGAGGCCATGACACCCAGCCCAAGTCAGGCAGACCAGGACGAAGACAGGATGAGGGGGGGCTCTACACAGTCGACTTCTTCTAAGGCGCTCACATCCTGCCGCTGGCACTGCCGCCGCTTGGGTCAATACGACCCGTCGAGCGCTTGCAGCAAAAGAACCTCCCTAGAAACATACATGCATACATACATGCATACATACATACATACATACACATACTGCATAGTATGGAGCTTTTCTATAGAGAATGTTAAGGTCACATTGAGTAAATCACCTATAAATCAGGATAAATCACGATGTATACATTTATATGTATATATATTATACACATAAAATATTCGCGAAACAGTGTGGCCACATTCTTACGGTAAGAGCCAAGGCCGGGTGTCTAATCGAAGGTACTCGCGTCCGTGCGGGGTAAAGTCGCTGCTATTTACAGTACATTCATTCACCTCGAGATCATCGAAGTGCGTGTCGACTGCGCAGGCTTGCAGAATCTGCTGGACGCGAGCGGTGCTCTTTGAGACTGCGCTCTCGTTGTGGCGCCGTGCGCGTTTTCAGGCTTGGTGGCTTTTCGTGGAAGGCGCAAGGGGCACCTCGTGTTTTGGTGGTCCAACGTCGCTTTTCCCGGCTCTGATTTCGTGGCAGGCGCAGTGAACCATGACCTTTGGACACGAATTGGCGGAAGTCTCGGGCGAAAGCTGCGGCTTGGCATCTTGTCTTTGGAAGTGCTCTTGCTGCAAAATGCCTTGGCAGGGCTGCGCGATGTGAGCCTTAATGTGCGCATCGTGACAGCATGGTTCTTATCCACACGGCCGTTGGTCAGTGCGCAAGTCGCGCGGCTGTTTCTGGACGCGCCAGGGCATGTTTTGTATGGCGTTTCTCGGCCCGACCCCGTATAGCTGGGGGCACCGCCGCTTCCAACATGTCGTTCTTGGGGACAGACGCCGACAACGGAGCGCTGAAGTGCAGGTCACGGGGATCTTTCCGGAGAGACAGACTGCGGCTTGGAACTGCTGGCCACTACTGTTCGGAACATCGGCCCTCCTGTCTAGCAATCGCCCTTCTCCGATGGGCCGCCACATGCTTGTATCGAGTAGAGGCACTTCCTTGGACTTCCCACAGCATTGGTGGCAGTCTGTCAAGTTGCCAAAGCCCTCCAGAGTGCGGTGACCAATGGGCTGGTGGAGACTTGGGCATTTCCACTTAAACGCGCGCAGCACTTGCGCTCTGCGTGCGTCGTTCAGTGGCTTTCAAGTTCAGGAGTCGCCCAAGTTCGTCCAAAAATTCAGTCGGCGTTTTGCCAACCATGTTCTACATCCACTGAAAGCGCTTTTACTTCAGCAAGGGATTCGGCAGCGTGTGGCCATCCTTCTATTTCTGTTCAAAACATCTCAGATGCAACGTATTCATCCCGGACACGCAACCAACATCGAAACAGGATCCCGAAGCGAAAACCGATGGTCTTTTCCTGAAAGTCTCAGCAGCAGTCTTCTGGTATCTTGTGGCGTTCCTGGTTTTGGGGAAGATTAAGGCTCTGACCCCGTCCGAGTGCTTGATCTTAAGCAGCGTGTGAAAGGGGTAACTCGTGGCCTAACTGCGGGCCTCAAATTGGATGCTCCGTGGGTGAAAATGAGAACGGCTGCTACAGTCACATTCTCTTGCGCCTGACATGGTTCAGGTGTCACAAGGAAGTAAGTGGGCCGCTGCCCTCAACTGTCCATGAAGGCAGGCAGCGGCTAGATGTTCTGGTCGAGTAGTTGCTGACTTTTGACAGCCCATTTCAAAGTCCAGATTGCGAGGGCACAGGGCCTTCCTCAGGATCACGCCGTCCGTCCCAACCAATGTTTCGGCAGACTTTGTCGCCAGCGCCAGCGCCGCGGCGCCACCACCATCGCCAGCGCGTTGGCAGGGGCAGCAGATTTTGTGGACCTTGAGGTGCAGACTTTGTGGCAAGCGCAGTGCTTTGTGACCTTGAACTGGCAGGCACAGCATTTTGTGGACCTTGCGTTGCAGATTTTGAGCAGGCGCAGTACTTTGTCGACTTTGAAGTTTGAAGTGCAAATTTCGTGGGAGGCGCAGCGTTTTGTGGACCTTGAAGTGCAGATTTCGGGGCAGGCGCAGATTTCGTGGTAGGCGCAGCGTTTGTGCAGATTTCGGGGCAGGTGCGGAGTTTGTCACCGCCCACCACCACCACCACCACCAACAACAACAACAACAACGACAACGACAACAACCCCAACCCCAACCCCAACGACAACGACAACGACAACAACAACACCAACAGCAACAGCAACAGCAACAGCAACAGCAACAGCAACAGCAACAACAACAACAACAACAACACCGGCACCAACGCCAACATTACCACCACAGTTATCGCCACCGCCATCATGAAAACATCATCACCACCGCCACCACCACCACCATCACCGCCACCATCACCGCCACCACCGCCATCACCACCATCACCAACACCATCACCATCATCACCACCACCATCACAACCATGACCACCATCATCACCGCCGCCGTCACCACCACATCACCATCACCATCACCATCACCATCGCCATCGCCATCGCCATCGCCATCGCCATCACCACCACCACCACCACCACCACCACCACCACCTGCACTGTAGACCTTAGACCTTTTGCTTCTGCACCTCCTTTAAGCACACTGTTTGGGGTCCCTTGGCGGGATAGTATGGGGAATGGTGTTTTGAGGAAATCAGTGGATTCAATCGGAAGTCGCTACCCCATCCGCTGCGTGGTGCTGTTGGGTCTGTGGTTCCCGGCCTTCACTTGGAAACGCAGCTCCGGTCCTCCTTCGGTTGATCGGAAGAAGTCAACGTCATCGTCACTCCGCAACCTTGCCGGTAACTCAGGTGATGAGGTCCATGCGGAAGCAGAGCGATTGTGAATCCACCAGTGATGCTTGTCAGAGGCCCTCACCACAGCAAAGCTTCGAGATAGAATATATATCATACACATAGTAGCGAACATGATGTGCGGAGAGAGTGAGGACCCCTGTTGTAATTGTCTTCAACCAACGAAACAGAAGAAAGATCCAGGTCCCAGCCGACATATTTTCCTCCTGTCTGGGATCTACTAAAACCAAGAGACTCAACAAGACAATATATACTGCCTGGACAGGCTGGCTGTTAATTTGCATCCCCCTGCCTTGCACGCATGCTGGCCTGCCAGCAGCGCCCGATAAGCCAAGCTAATCGGGCGTTCGTTTGGTTTGGTGACCCTTTGGCTGAAAGCGCAAGGAGAATGAGAGGGATTTGTGAGGTCACCAACCAAATTGTGCCGTTTCTGCAGGTGGGATTCATTTCAGTGGATTCAAGGAACCCGAATTTGAAAGGAGCCGAATCTCTTTGAGTTGGGTTTGTCGAGCAGGGATCGCAGTAGCCCCATTCGCCACTGGAGATTTTGAGGTGATGGACGTTTGTTTCGCAGTTTTCTCCACGACTTTCAGCTTGAGGTGGATGCACCATCAAGTTGCCACTATGAACCAGCGCCTTATGGCCTCCGGCTCAGAGGCTTGCCGCTTGTTTGAGCACTAGATCAAAAGGTTGGTTCAACTGTGGGAAGCCGTTCTTGATTATACATTGTTATTTTTGTGATCTTGAACCAGGGCTTTTCAGCTGTTCCCGCTTCAACCATCCCTATGCTGGGGGTTCTCAAGCGTGCTTTGTTGCTCTTCGGCTGCTTTCGTCCGTGCCAGATGCGGGTGGCCAAAGCAGTGGAAGTGAAGCCACCGGACAGCAACGACGTGCCCACTCCCACGAAATTCAGGCAGAGAGGGATGGCAGGGGCGAAGAACACTGTGCGAGACAAAATTTGCAAGCAAACTTCGTCAACAGCAATCTGGTTAAGTTTTCCAGAACATCTTGGAACCAAATTAGCGCGAGCGCTTCCTTGAAGAAGCGTGAGCTATCCTGCGTCCAGTTACTAATTAAGTAGCTAGTAGCTCCCTTACTTAATTAAGCCTTAGGGAGGGGGGGAGGTTGGCCAAAGAACAAAAGACGCTTTAAAGTCTTTGCTAAGTCAGGTTTTCATGACAGTTTGGTGCACTGAGCCTTTGGCTGAAGTCGGTACGGCTGAAGGCTCTCTGGGTCAGTCATCTTGAGGGAAGAACCCGAATCCAGGTCATACATGGTCATGCTACATTCATCAGCAAAGCAAAACCCCTACATCATTAAAAATTTTTTCGGTTCGTCCGCCTCCAGGACGAGCGGTGCGGCGGGTTCAGGCTTGGGAAAGGAGGATGAAAGATGTGTGTTGAAGGCTTTGGTCAAGGACGATTCCATGCTAGCAGAGGCTCATGTATGAAACGACGATAAAGACTGATAAAGAGGCTCATTCGGATGGACCTTCTGTTGAACGCCTGTGGAGTTGCAGACTCTGTAGGGATACAAACTCGAACACGAAGAGACTGCCTCCGCGTGACAGGCAGTCAGGCCTCTCCGGCAGTCCCCAAGCGCCGCAGCCTGGGAGCCCAGGAAAAGTGTTTCATTCCTTGTCAATTCTTTTCTCTTCGCTACTAGGTGGAGGCCATCGCTAGTAGGTGGAGGCCATCGCTAGTAGGTGGAGGCCATCGCTGCTAGGGTGGAGGCCATCGCTGCTGGCCATCGCTAGTAGGTTGCATTTTTTTACATGTTCCATTTTCTCTTCTCTTCACCTTTTCTGCTTCCAGGTGAACCTGGCATCCCATGGCCTTGGAAATCGTGATGGTTCATTCGCTGCATCTGCTTCGCTCTGGATTCCCGGTGCAAGATGCACTTGCTGTTGGGCTCTACTCACCCAACAGCAAGACCGATGGCCTGTGTCTTGCCCAAGGTCAATGACCTGTTCCTCCACAGATCCACAATTTGTCAATAGCGTTGAATCTGAATTGAATTCATCCTCACTCCAAGACCTCAGCTCACACAGAGATTTGAGATGGAGAGTGTTAATGACTTTTAATGTGTGCTGTATGTATTTGCATAGATTGCTCGATCCTATCTTCACGAAATGTCGATGCCATTGTTTTTTTTGCAGCAGCAGCTTTTTGTGCATTAGCTGTTTAAGATGTTTGATTTCCTCCGCAACAATCATGAATTGAGCACACCACCACCCCTCTAGTATATGTCTCCTTCCGTTTTCGCCGTTCGTTGGTGCAGATTCTGAGCTCCCTGCCGGCGCATGACAACATCATCCGATGCTTCGGATATTCCATCGGGGCGCCGAAGGGCTCAGGCACAGGTGTTGGTGTAAGAAAGCAGAAACTTGAAGTGGTTCTTGTTGAAGAACTGTACGGACTGGAGTGCAATTGCTGCTTCATGAAGATGCTAAACACCGGAGGTGGCGGAACCGTGAAGGTTCTTCTGGAACTTTGCCACGGACATTTGCTTGACTTTCAGGCCCTTACTGATTTGATGTTATTCTTGGCATTCATGTCAAAAGGTGCAGTTGCAGTGCAAAACTACAAAAAGTTTCTTCTTGGCAGTCTGCAGGACTCTAAAGGTGGCAAGCTGTCGCCGAAGGAGATGATGGAGCCATTTGTGCAGATTGCTGATGCAGTTGGGCCTAAGTGCACTGGCGTGTGAGATCAACATCGTTGGTGCAGTGAACCATTCTAGTGGTCCAGGACTTCTATGTCTCTTTCTTGATGCATGAGCTAGCAACACCTTTGACCACCTGCAGCAAACAATTTGCCCTTTCTTTGTACACCTGCTGTGAACAACTGAAGCGAGGGTGAAGTGGTTTGTTACTGTTTTGCCCTTCTTGAGACATGTGATTTTCTGCAGCACATCAGTAGCTGCTTGTTTTCTAGGTGAGGCATTTGCATGCACAAAAGCCCGGGTCCAAGTGGGCTTGCCCATTTGCAGGAGTAGGATCGAATAAGTGACTAAGGTGAGACTGGGCGATGTAGGACGAGGACACTTGGACATCTTGCATGTCTTTTGCTCATATCATATGATATCCAAGATCCAAGTGATATGATATCAATGATCTCTTCATGTGGATATTTTGGCTTCCTAAGGCCGCCGATCCAGCACCGTGACCTCAAGGTGGAGAACATCTTGAAGGCGTACCGAAAAGACCACAAGTTGAGGCCAAGGCTTCCATGACTGAAAGGCAAAAAAGAGGAACTAACTTTGCTGGTAACACTTTTTTTTACGGGTTTTTCTGATGATTTTTGTGAGTGTATATATATATATAAATAGATATACATACACACACACACATATCTTTTCTTTTCTTGTATGCTGACTTGCGCAGGGCAGTGATGGCCACTGGAAGCTTTGCGATTTTGGCTCTTGCAGCACTGACCTGAGAAAGGAATCTTAGACTTGCAGACTTGCTGACTAGAAAAGAGACCAAAAGGTATTTGGCTGAAGAGACAAATGATCTCAAGAAGAAACATGTTTGGTAAAGAGAGGTAGCAACTTTGGCCAAAGAAACATGATCTCAAGGCACCAGCTGCTTCGAAGCCGAGCTGCCACGACCGCAGCTCCAGCGGTTGCAGGCCCAAGGGCCATGAAGAGAACTGGGACATGAACCACTACCTCATGGTTTGTGGGCCATGTATGGTTACTGTATGTATAAAAAACAGTTATTAAGTTAACAGTATTATATAAGAGTATTACCGAACGTTGGGCCCAGCATTCCATGGCTTATGTGCTTGAAAAGTCGATCAGCGATTCAACCGCTTTGGCTTCGGCGGGGATCTCCTGCGATTTGCTGCGACCATCAAGCCACTCTGGGTATCAAGGAGTATAAACCAGTAACGAGTTTTCCATGGCAAAACCGGACTCCTGAACAAGAAACAATAGACTCTCCGACTCTCCGGTGATATCCGGTGATCCACCCGATTCATTTACAAACACTGCGCATTGGTCAGGCACACAACGGTCAGACCCTCTTGCAATCTCTTGAATGCCGTGAAAGTGGCAATTGCAAGCGGATGTCGCATTGAATGTGTTCAGATTTAGTTGGTCTAGTTGCTCACACATGCAAATACTCCTGGCGGCATCCTTGCATTTGCAACTTTCCTGGGAAGTGCACCGCTCAAGGCGGCGAGCAGACCTTGTGAACTTGTGTGCTATTGCAAATGAGGTGCCCTCAAGATGTGGAGTAAAGCTTTCCATGGTGTTGCGAGGAGGTGGTTGTAAAGAAGACTTTCTGAAATAAGTAGGCAGATTAGGACCTTTCTGATGACGTAGTGACGCAGTGCGAGAAGTCAGAAGCTTGGTGTTGGTGGTCCAAGCACTGAGACCTTACCACAATCCAGTTCTCGACCACATTTACCCGTGGACGGATGGTGTGCAATCGGTCTCGACCGCTGCCAGTTCTTTGGGATGTTCTGGGTCTATTGCCGGAGATATTGTCCTCCAAGTTCTCAGCTTCCAGATGCTTCCAGTGACAGTTTCGAGTCAACCACATCCTGTGGCTTGCTTTCGTTGCATCTTGGCGTGGCTGTGGGGGGCCAGTTTGTGGGTCGTGAGGAGCCTTTTGACCAGCATGCTGCATGCCCTACTTGGGCGTGGCACCGCCCCTGCCACGACTGGTTGAAGCAGAAGACCGGGGTGACGGACATTGTGACGGACTGGCTGTGAAAAGTCGCCTTTGGAGTGGAGCGAACATGTTGATCTCGTGGAGAGCTAGACATGAATGCTGTCGAGAGCTGGACATGCTTGCTGGTTCCACCTTTGCATCGACCATCAAGCGTGAGCTGGTAAAGAATTCTTTTTGGCTAGACAGACAGACAGACAGACAGAGTATCACTGCAGCAAGGCTCGCCGCTCTTCAACTGGCAACTTGCAATTTGGACGTGCGTATTTCTGCCGGTATCACATTTTTGCAGCGAGCAAGCCATCAGCTGGCACGGCTTCAATGGCTAGAAGAAGCTGCAAAACGCTTGGGAGCACAGGCAAAAGAGGAAAACAGCCGGGGAAGAGTAGCAGACATACTCCTTGCTCCTATCTCGCTCTCTAAGCTTTTTTCTTGTTCTTGCTTCATTCATTTCATTCATGTTTGTTCTCAGCGTCACCGCTAGCATCTTTGCCGCTTGTCACCCATATCCATTTGTGAGTCCCAAAGCCTCTCACTTCGTCGAATACGGTCCCTGCTCAGCATCATTGCTACTGGGACGCTATTAGATGCTATTAGTAGCAAAGGGTACTAGGAGCAAGGACGCTACTAGTAGCTCCTGGCCATACTACTAGTAACAAGGGCATCGCTACTAGTAACAAAGGGCATCACTACTAGTAGCATTCTTACTACTAGGAACAAGAAGCTATATATATATATATACACTAGCTGAGTTGCACCCTTTTCAGTTGGAAACGCCACTTGTTGCCTGCAACACAGCCCTTTGTGTGCGTTCGGACGGTCATCACTTTATCACCTCCATTTTGTCGTCACGCGGCCGTGAATGAATTGCATTTTTTCCTGCAGTCTGCCTGCATCAACATGCTTGTCCAATAGGTCTCTGACTCTGAATGTAGTCTCTCTCTCTCTCTCTCTCTTTGTTGCTCAAAGCTTTATGCAGCCTTGGGTAGGGGTAGGATGGATCCTCTCGCTTCAGGAAGACCCTCCGCCGGGATCTTTCAGGCGTGGCCCCCTACGAAGCCTGATCATTCAGTCCTTTGCACCCTCAAGGAGTGGTGGGGGGCGACTGCCTCTCCAAGGGGAAGGAGGCTGAACTGACCAACACTATATAAGCCCTTCCCACGAAGAAGATCTCTCCGGGCAAAGTTCAGGAAGATGCTGCGGGTGGCAAAGGAGGAGCCTGAGACCGCGGGCCCAGAAAGCCCTGTACGCAATGACCTCCTTGTATCTGGAGAGTTGGCGCACATGAACATCCAGGTTGACCGATTCGCAAGGTCAAGGGTCAAAGGCCGCTCCAAGAAAGTGCTTGAGAAAGGTGCCCGGAACCTGCAAGAAGAGTTTTGCACAACCTTGTTGCCATCATGAGCAACCTGCTTTGATCTGGAAGTTCGGTAATCCCCCACAGGCACCTAGCTTTCGTTCAGCCTTTGTCCCTCCACTTTTGAATGTTGGTTTGCAGTGAGTTCCAAAGCTGGTTTTTCCCAAGCAGCTGGTTACATGAAAGCCTTGAGAACTTTTATGAACGCTGCCAGGATGAGATTGACAAGACCGTGACGCTGCTTTACAGGCGCAACTCCAGTCTAAGATCCCGAGAAAAGACCTCACCGTGATTGTGCCACTACCTTCTTACATGCTGAAATGGTGGGCAAAAAACTCCAGCCGTTGCTGGAAGCCAATGGGGCCCAAGGATATTGGTGGATGCTGTTGATTCTTTCACTGGTCTCACAGTCAGTTTCTGACCTCCGACAGACCGCCTCAACTCTTTGAGCTGTGGACCTCGGCCCCATGAGCGCATTATATAAGCTTATATTGAGGTGCTTGCAACATCTTGCACCGAGTGCTTACATGACCAATTTTGTGCGTCCAGGCCGCCAGAGATGGCCGACGTCCAGCTGAACAGCAGAAAGGCTTTGGTTAGACTATTATTGATTGAGGAGTGGACAAGCATTCAGTTGAGGGAACTTTACAGTTTCTTATCAAGGTTGAACTTTTGTTGGAGGAGCAGCACACCCCAAATGTGTTGACTTTTGTTGTTGTCAAGTCATTCTGGTCACCTGTGTATCACACTTATAAGATCTATATACTCGTTTTTGAAACACATCATAAACTGAACATGGCTGTATAGATCGTTGGGAAACGCTGGGCATGGCGGAAGTTGACCTCACAATACGATCTGGTCTTAAGATGGATTCAGAACTTGGAAAAGAACATTCTACCTAGAACACCCTTTAAACTCCTTGTGTAAGTTTGTCAGGATCCGGGTTTAGCCATGTATATACTCGCAGCCAATACGAGACATTGAACCTTTGTTGTTGCAAATGATTCCGAGATGAAGAAGACATGAGTCCACACCGAAGGGCACATGTAATGGACGTCATTGCACCGTAGGATTCTAATGGTCTGAAGCCAAGTGTTTTTGAGGTGATGACCAGACCATACAAACTGTGAAAGCAGCTTCCTTGGAGGATGACTCCGCCGCTTGACTCCGCAGGGCTACACAATCACCCAGCAAGTTGACATTTGGATGTTGCTCGGACTCAAAAGCATGCCATTGCGCTTGTCGTGCTTGTGCCTCTTTTAAAATCAATTGGATCATGAACGGCACTGGACATGTCTCCACATTCTCGCCACAATGTCAGGTAGAGTGAGTTAAAGCTCAGGGTAGGGAAGCACAAGCATTTCGTTCCTCAAAGCAACGGGTTTTCAAGGAAGCTTCTCTGGGTTTTGACCTCTACCAAACGAACAACAAGTTGCTTTTCATTGACCCTTTTCCTGCTTGTTTGGATGGGCTTTTTTGTCATGGCATTTCGTGGGCAGACGTCTGGCCTTGTCTCGCCAATGCATTCTGATTGGATTATATAGACTGAATGTTCACATCACTATCCTTATTCTGAGGCTGGGTTGCATCCTCTACACACTTGCCTTCTATCGACATCCATTTCAGGCAGCACTCGTCTTCCAAGCATGCGTGTCGGAGTCACCGTGAAACTGCATTGGTTTCATTTATGTATAGTATACGTTATTAAACAGTTAAACCATGTTAAACATATGTAAACATCAGGTTTTGCAAGCAAGTGGAAATGTTCTTGTACCGTGCAACCTGTCCGTGTCGAGGATCATGGGATCGCTTGATCTTTTTAGTCATGCCCAGTTCCTGGTCACCTTGCCTGTGACATTGATTTAGGATGATTAGGCGTATAAGGACACGTGCAGCTTCAAGCGAAAGTGAAGCTCCTTTTCCATCTGGCTGTGCAGGACAATGCGACACCCATGGCAATTTTCAATGCCAAGTACTTCATTCCTGCTGACCATCCAATGGCAAGGTCGCATGACGTGGGGAAAGCTAGCAGCTGAACATTGCATCACTTCCGTTCGCTGTCTAGGTAGGCTTGGCACGGGCACTCCACCACCTGTTCCGTCAAGCTGTTTAGCTGCTTGATTTCGCCCACTACAGTAGTCAACCTGATGTGGCAAGCTGATCTAACATATTCTCACATTCTCTCGTGGACTTCCGTCGGATCATAGTCTTCTAGATTTGCACTGCCTGCGTTTTGTTGTGTTGATCCAGTCTCTGAAACAGCGCCGCCCCAGGAGTGCGAAATTGTGCGCCTTAATCCATTGGTTGCTGGCACCAGACCCCAAGGTGCAATTTTTTGGGGCAGACCCGAGTCGCATCTAGCTGCCACATGTTGCCAAAGCTGGACAACAAAGTCAAGACAGTCAAACCGTTGAGAAGCTTCGGGCATCAACCGCATGATAACTCTTTAGAAAAGAACTTTTTTTGATTTGTGTGGAGGAGATAGTGATAGATAGTGGTCGGTACCTGTATCGGTGCAGCAGCTATGCATATAAGAATGACCATTTGGAGCGCATATGCAGGCAAAGTTGTGAAACCTAGCTATTGAAATCGCTTGCTGATCTGCAGGACAGGCCACCAGCCCCTCAAGTCCTACAGGCCGTGACCGCCGTTTGTGCCGTTTTTCGCTGGAGGTTCTACGGTCCTGAGCGCCGGTTTTGTGGTGCGGTTTCATGGCTTTACAGTCTGTCCATCATGTTACAAGTTTGCGAGAATGCAGGCTGAATGTTTAAAAGATTTGGAACTGGCAAATGAGACCTTCCACTTAAGTTCTTCACTTGGGTAATCTGAAGGCTTGGTGAATGAGATTGTGAAAGCATGCTCCCGATAAACTGGACGAAAACCATTACTCTACCGCGCTGCAGGTGCTGCATTCACGGTGCCATCCTGTGAACAAAATCTAGGCTACCTTAAGTCCTTAAGTGTGCCAAATTGGTGTTTTGGGGAATACGCCTTGACCAAACTCCATGCATTCAATTCAAACAAGTCTGAAGCTAAGTGGCAAACGACGAAGCCTCTTAAGACATTTGAATAGTTATTTTTGAGCGACTGCACGCCTGAGCTTGCCAGCTGTGTCTTAGACAGGCCTGCCGAGAGATTGGCAAGTCTGAATATGAGGACTTTGTCAAGTTGGGGCCCCAGAAGGCTTCAGGAGAAGACCGAACACTTTCAGGCAAAGGTGCTGCACCAGGTTTCCAGCGCACCTGGTCAATTAAGCCTGTTCAAGGGTTTTCTTGAAGCCTGAAAGCACTGCTTAGCCATGGCCCATGCTGGAACCTAGTGACCAGTGACTAGTGGACACAAGGAGGCTAATGTTGAGTGTTGATTTCAAAGTCCAGAGCAAATCCCCAAATTTGGACTGCCAATGTGGGGGAAACATGAAAAAGGACCCAACGGATCCCGAAGGCTTACAGATATATACATACAGTACTTTGTGTTGGCCTTTCAACGTCTAGTGACTCTTCATGGATGTTCATTTTCGGTGCAGTTTCAACAAAAACTGAGGGCCATGCCAGCTCCTGTGAGGCCCGGAGCTTACTTCTTGGAGAATGCAACGATGCGTTTGGTAGTTGATTCGAAGTGTTTCCAACCGGGAAAACACCACACAACTTCGTTAATGAGTCGATGACCATTTCATAGCCAGGGTCAGCTCTGAGCCAGTCGTGGCATTTTGTGCCTTGGTCTGCTCTTCTGTCACCTTCATGTGCAATGGCAGGGAGAAAATCTTGCAGCAGGAGAGAATCTATGGTGCCAGGCCGCTCTGTGGGCTTGCTTTGTTTCAGTTTCTGTTCGTTCGGAGCAGATTTCGTGTGTCGACCAGATCTGATCTCGTATTTAGTTTATATAGAATGTTCATGAATGTTCTACAGCCTTTGTTACTAGAAGCGTCTTGTTACTGTTAAGATCTTTACTGAAGCCAATTGATCGATTTGTCGCTTTGTTGACACGATCGCCACGGAGGAACTCAAAGGAGCCACCGAAAGAGTGGGTCGGGCCCTCAGTGAGAGGTGTGTGACGCACCAGAAGGGTTGAGCAGAACACTGCACTTCTTCTTACAACTTTATATCAAAAGTGTTCTATACCATCCCTGATTTATACACACTTTGAAATTGAACACTTTGGTGACACTTGGTGACAGTTTGGTGAAGAACATTGTTTGCGGGAAATCCTAACCTCCAGAACATTACCCAGACTTAACATGACTTCAATGTCACTTTGTGTACCTGACTTTTGCCTGTTGTCAAGGTAGAAATGACCTACAAATCCACTAGCCAGGTGAAGCGCAGCAGGTACTGGGAGGTTTATCATAGTTTATCCCTCACGTGGCTTCGCTGCAGATGGGGAGATGGTAGAAAATAAATGAGGCCAGCAGCCCCCTGCAAACTAGACAAAGCCTTGTGTCCAAGTCACTCACCTGTCCCCTGCACCTACATCTTTCTTTTTTGAATCAATCGCAATGAGCTGTGTGAGGACCTGAAGAATCTTCCGATGGCCACAGGAGCCAGATCGCAACCAGAACCAGTCCGCAAGGTTGAGGCAGGATGGAAATGGCTGGGTCAGGGAAGAGGTGTTCTCCAGTATGCTGACCATCCAACACCTAGATATGCCCACGGCCACAGGGTCAATTTCAAAGGCTTTGAACCGAGTTTACCGACAGTCTGTTTGTAATCAGAGGCTCTAATCTCATCCCTTCTGTGGCCGGAGAGTGTGCAGAAGTGCTAAGAGTGCAGCTGCTTTACAGAATCACACCGGTGCAGACCTTCATCCCGAATCGTCCCTCCTGTCATCCAATCCGCCTCTTCCCAGGCCAACGGGACGGCGCCGCATACCAGCGCAGCACAGCACGAGACCCAGATGTACACTTACGTATCTTACGTTTCAGAGTGAGATTGGACAGGGGGTTGTAGCAGCTATGAAAGAGCATCCATGTGTCATAACCTCTTGACTTCAACCCTTCCAAAAACAACAACAAGCTTCTGTTAGGGGGCTACTTCCACGGAGAAAATGATCCACGCATGATTCTGATCTTCTCAACATCGTCAACGTCTACACAATATGATACGAACATTTGCCTCCTCCTCTTCTTCTTCTCCTCCTCCTCCTCCTCATCCTGCTCGTCCTCCTCATCATCATCATTGTCACAACATCGTCATCGATACCACGCTGTAATCGAAGAGAATGGTAAAATGGGGGTGGTAGGCATGGGTTTCAAGCTCTGACATTTGACAACATTGTTATCATGATCATAGCATTGTCACTGTTTCCAGGCCAGAGTCCTTCGAAAGTTCCTCCTGCACCAACGTATGTGATACTAGCACGAAGAAGGCGTAGAGAAAAGCAGGGGTGGCCAGGGTGGATTCAAAAGCACATTACAAGACATTGTTTTGAAGGCCCCCGAATGCAAAATACGACGAACTACGCCTGGCTTCCATGTTGAGCTGGGCCAATCATCCCGTTTTGCTCAATCGGCGTGCTACTAGTTGCTGTGTGAGCAACGGGACATTGTCTAAATTATCTAGATTTCTGCAAAAGCGATGCGGGGCAATCCCACATGAGAATCTTATCATGAGAGAAACATTCCACAACACTGCAGACCGATAGGGGCCGCTGACCAACTCTTGCCCTAAAGCAACTGCTTGTCCGCCACTAATAATATATATATATATATATGGAAACAAATTGGCTGGACTCAACACTTGATGACCAAGCATCGAGTGTTGGAAAGGCAGCAATCGCATGCAAATGCTACATGGAGACAGTAGCAATGCCGTGCAGTTGTTTGTGAAGACAGTAGGGAATGTATTTTAACAAGACCCAGGGAGACCCGCAGCATCCCGCAACCGGGTTTTGGTCTGGTTTGTTTCCCTTCATCCAGGGGGTCTTTGAGACGTCTCCTATTGCACACCCATGGGGGTCTTTGAATTGGAGGTTTGATGTGAGATTTGCGCTGGCAGAGGGTGCAGGTGCCGAGACGCCTGCCATCGCTTGGTTGTCAAAGGTGTTCAATGGCTTTGATGCGTGCCTTGATACCAAATGCAGGAAAGGATGGGTCGAGATAGTTTTTGGTCGCAATGGACTGAGACACAAATCTCATGTAATTAAGTATATATATATATACATAAAATATGATGTAGTTTGATCTCAACAGCTTGATTGGGAAGAGACTTCTGCACATCATGAACGCGTCGTTGCTTGCTTTTAGGTGCCTATCCAGCCCAGCCTGCGAAGCCGAAGGTGGCCGGAGCTAATTTAACTCACTGGAGCTTACCAGCAGCATGTGAACCAGCAGCAGATGACTCGGATGAAGTAGATGTCAGGAAACTCCAACAGACTCCAATGAACTCTGCATTTTGATGACAGACTAACTCGACTAACTCGACTAACTCGACCCTTCTAACTTCATTTACTCAGCGCAAGCGCTAGGCACCGCCCAGCCAGTTGCCCAGAGGTTCATCAGCACAGGTTCGCTTCAAGTTCAAGTTTGTATTTGCATCACCGCCATGGCTCGGGCGATCGATCAGTTCTCTTTTGGGCGTAACAAGAAGCTAATAGAAACAAGTGCATCGCTACTAGTAACAAGTGCCTTACTACTAGTAACAAGAAGCTATTAGAAACAAGAAGAGAATCTTTAGTATCTTGGGCGATCGATCCTTCATGACGCGCTGAGGGTTGCAAGAGGACTTGCTTTCCTTAGATGGTGGAGGGCCTCCCTCCAATCGAGGCGGATAGTGAGGGTACAGAGGTACATAGCCTCATAGAAATTTGAACAACACATTGCATGATTCTTGTGGCACTGTACAAGTGCCTTGTGTGCAGCACCACTGTTTTCTTTCTGACAGGCTTGCACCATGCAACCTCTGCCCCTGCTGTGGATCTATTGGACATGTCCACCACTCCGTGACTGGGCTTGAATGGGTGACTAGAGGGATGCCGAGAAGAGGCGTTTCAGATCGCCTTGCCACCAAAATACCTTATCACAAAACTAGCGGAGAAACTGGCAGACCACGCGGAAAGGATAACATCGAATCTAAGTTTAGTCTAAGAGTCTATATATAACCTTTGGTTTTTGGACAACTTCCCATCCTTCCTTCCAAAGCATATCCTGTAGGATAGAGCCGTGTTCACCGATTCAAACCATTTTGTGCTTTCGGGTCTTGAGATGTGGTCCTCAACACCCACTCGGGCCACTGGTTTCCGGTTTCCGATGGTTTTCGCCTGGAGAAGTTTCCTGGTGAAAATGGTCATTCAAAAAGATGTAATTATTTGTTGTGGTGGATCAAGGTGCAACACTGATTCAACTCATGCCTGAGGTCACGGGCGAAAAGCGCCCCACCGATGGCGACAGGTGATGAGATTGAAGAGTGGGTCAGGTGATGGAGCCTCTTCGGAAAGAAGAGCAATCGCTCAGCCCCAAAGGTCAATCGAACGTGTTTTTCATTTTTACGTTATCTTCCACAAAGTGCACATGTGCAGTGCAGGCATGTGTGCGGTGCATCGGTGGACGCAACATTGTTGGGGACGCTTTGTGTAGAACCAAGAATTGAAGTAAATCAGGTGTAAGGCTTTGGATCCATCGAAAAGAGGAAGGCACAAATGTTGACGACATCATGTCTCCGCCCTAGCCTAGAGTTGGACTATGTCCCTACCGAATGGCGATGGCCTCCAACCTACTGGCGATGCCTAGAAGCTATGTCCCTACCTAGAGTTGCACCTGGACAGGTGACAATCTTTTAGCCTTCGCAGATTTCGGCAGTATGCCCTCGCAGGCTGGGCACCGCAGGCTTCCCAGATTTAACCAAGAAATTGAAGATTGATGGGACAAAAAGCAGCTCCCTACTATCATGCAGCCTGCTTCAAGTGGAAGGCTTGTTGAATTATTTCATGGCATATGAATCATATGAATCTCAAGTGTAGCCCTTCTCCAATCACTGGCAGGATGTGAACGCAGGAGCGCCAAACGCAGGAGTGACAGCATGGTGTCGCAGTGTCCATACGTGTGCATGTCCATGGCTCTTCCTGAGCTCACAGACAGACAGCCTGTTTTTTTTTTGTTTGGGGATTGTCTCGTCCAAACTGGCTCTCCGTGAGGACCAGTTTCATCTCCAGCGCCTGGCTGGCTTGCTTTCTGGCTACTCACTTGTGGTATCAAGGTTGATTGTTGAGTGAATTGTCCGGGAAAGCTTCTTTGCGGAGCCTCTGATGCTGTGATGCAGTGCTGTCAACCGGGTTCTTTGCAGCTCTTCAACGATCTTGTCAGGGATTTTGCCGATTTTGGCTCTGCGCCAAGTTTCGACGTGTTCTGGCTGCAAAACCAGTCGAGGGCATTCGACACACACAAACACACATCATTTGATGGTCCCTTGCCCATGGCATTTGCATGTATTTGCGCTAGTAACATCAAGCAACTATAGATACACGATGACACGTGCACACATTACACATTGGTCAACACTTTAGCTGCTGTGCAAGGATCTCTCAGCCTCTCAGTTAGTAGTCACTTCGAGTCATTCCTGTCACAGTGAAATGGCCTGTATTAATTCAACAACGCAGGGCCACAGGAGTTTGCACCTTGCAGACCTGAACCTGGACCAGTCTGGGCCATTTGTTTCGATCCTTCCCAACTGAGGCTTTTGCTCCTCAGCCGCAGGCACACCAGGCTTGGTGAGCAGCCGGGTTCTGGCATTTGACGTTTTGTTCAAGGGAAAGCTGGATCTGCACTCAGCACTGCCGGGTGGTTCCTTTTCAATCCTATTTGCATTTGCTTTCCTAGCTGGTCATGAGCCTTGTGATACACTGCTTTTTTGCAGCATGTAGCATGCTTGTTGCTACTTTATCAGACACGTTTCAGTGAACTGGTGCCTCTTCAGGCTGCCTCAGCACCAAACTCTGGGTCAGCCGGGCGTCCAGTTGATGGCATTGCCGACTGCAAAAGGGGTTGCATCCGCTGAACACTGAACATGATGCATGATACTGAAGTGAAGTATTGCCAGTATTGCTGAGCAAGATTGCTGGTACTTGCATTCAGATGCACATTACGAACCAGGATCATGTGCATCAATACTTGGAGCCGTCATGGCCCTCTTGATATGTTTACAGCACTATGCAGCATGCAGCAAAATGGAGAGTTGAGCAAGGCTGAGTTGCCTTTGCTAAGGCAAACTTGCTCGACCTCATGTGAAATGGTGTGAAATGGGTTTAGTTCGCGACCACGTCTGTGGAAATCATGGACACCATCTACTCGCTAGGCACAAGCCTTTTTGCCCATGAGCACATATTCTTTTGCTTGATGTACAAGAAGTGCATCAACATCACTTGTATGGGCAAAGAGGCCTGAGATAGCTTGAAGCTGCCGCACATGAGCGTGAAAAAGAGCTGCAGAATGTTCGGAGTAGATTGCAAACTGATGATAAGCCTTTTCAATTCAGTTTGTGTCATGTATAGACTCGGAAGTCAAACGAGCTGTCCATATCTAATCGTCTATCATTCAGTGGTTCGACTGCCAGCTTGATTCTATTCAGTGTGTCCAAAGCTTTGTTTGGGCTTGTGCGAGTTGACAAAACCCTCTCGAAGATTCGGCCAACCACCATTACAGATTCGGCAAACACTTGACGCGTTCTTCATGTTTAGACCATTTATATAGACCTTTCTTTTTTCCCCCTTTCTTCTTGTGTTGACCCTATTGCTTCGTTTGTGTGCGAAGCAGCTCCGCCCAGCCCAGCATCCGATCGTGGACTGGGCCAGCTGACGGACGATTCTCTGTCGCAATCCCACACGGCGCAACAAACCTTTTGCCCCAAACGGTCACTTTTTTTCGAAAAAGTCGTAAGAGCGATGGCCTCCAACCTAAGAGCGTCCCTTCCGACTCTTTTTCGAAAAAATGTCTGTCATCTTTTCTGCGATTGGCGCCGATCTGCCAGGCTCGACAGCCCGGGAAGGGACGCGTGAACATCGAAGCCCGCACCGCTGATGCAAAGCTCATAGCGCACAAAGCGCCGTCCGTCCGCATGAACTTGCGGACTCGCTTGTGGCACCTTGTGGCTATCCTTTTCGACAGGAGACCAACACAGCCTCGTTTTGGATTCGGACAGGTCCAAGCTTGCTGGTCATGGCTTAAGCCGCTTAAGCCTTCCTGCAGCTGGCAAAATGCAACTTTTAGCGAACCATGTTCCTCGCAAGGCCACTACTGGAATTCTCACCTTTTACGTTGCCTATTCTCTACCAGTGTTTGCACACAGGTCATATACTGCACATGGCGGTGCAAGCTTTTAGTTTCAGGGTTTTGCAGCTTGCATGCAAATAGAATATGATATGTCGAGCCCGACAGTTTCTTCCTCAAAACTCAACGAGCCGCGGGACGAGCTTCGATCAAGACATCAACGCAATCCACTTTGGGTGGTGTGGCCAAGAGGCGACCTGGCTGCTGAGCACGGTCGTCTTTCCAAGTTGGTTGGCCTGGTTGGCCCTTGTTTATGTTTGGACTCTTTGTAAACTGTTTGGCACTGTTTTACTTCTTGCTTACTCTTGTTTGTGCTCACCGGCGGGCGGCCGCCTCATAGCTGCGTACGGTTGCACTTCATGAGGCAGTGCGCATCAAACACATGATGCATTGTGATACTACAACTGTGTTAACATCAGCTGCGTTCTTCCCTTCCCTGCCAACCTGTGGGACTTGCTGGAATGGCCTGAGGTCTTTGCACTTATGTTTCCACAGGCGCTTAAGGTACTTGAAGGCAGAAGGGACCCAAATCCCAACTAGTGTAAGCCCGATGCACATAAGGCAAGGCAGCGTGGATGAAAAAGGGAACAAGACAGGAGAAGACAGAGACAAAACAGTACTCATACGGAAGAGTTGCCTCAGCGACGAGGGACCTAAGTCCCACCTTATGTTGCCGTGCACATTGATGCTGGAGGCAGGAAGTCATGGATAGAGCAGAAGAATAAGGAGGAGAACAAGGGGACGAAGAAGAGGGAAAGAAGAAGAAGAAGAAGAGGGAAGAAGAAGCAGAAGAATAAGAAGAAGAATAATAATAAGAAGAATAGTAATAAGAAGAAGAAGAGGGAAGAAGAAGAAGAAGAAGAAGAAGAGGGAAGAAGAAGAAGAAGAAGAGGGAAGAAGAAGAAGAAGAAGAAGAGGGAAGAAGAAGAAGAAGAGGAAGAAGAGGAAGAAGAAGAAGCAGATGAAGAAGATGTAGACGAAGACGAAGACGAAGAGGGAAGAACAGGGAAGAACGGGGAAAAAGAGAGAAGAAGATGGAAGAAGGGGAAGCACAACTGAAGAAGGGAGGATGGGGCAATGAAGGGAGAAGCAAAGACTACTGCAACAACGGCATAACATAACATAGTCACCTCCAGGAATGAGCGGAATGAGGGACCCAAGTCCCAACTCATGTAATACTGCGAGAAGGTGGGGGAAGAAGTGGGAAGTAACACTCAGCAAGTGGTATAGCGGCAATTTACGACGTATGCGGCGGGTGGCTTTTTGAGCATGCGGCTCATGGCATTCCAGACTCTGGCGGGCAGGGTGCCGCAGCGTGTGCCACCCCAGGCAGTTTCAGTCGCTCCAGCTCAAGCCGGCGAAGCTCTGCCAGCTGCCAAGCGTCTTTGCCTGTTTCCCCCATGTCCCTTCCAAAGCTTCTATGCTCGTCCTACCTTCGCCCAAGTGTTTGTACAAGAGCAGGTTGCGCTCCGCAAGGCTTCCACATTGCCACTGCCTAGTGGCGCAATCGCTTTAGGCTCCGTGCCGCGCTCCGGAATTTCCGTGCTCCGTGCCATCTTTGGTCGTCTTGTTTGCACCCCACAGCGTCCACCTGGATGACGGCGAGAGACTCCCGCAGTTGTGCCGAACATGTCGTTTTTGTCCCTTTTATATTTTGTTATACGAAAACTGAGACAAAGGACCAAAGGGTAAAACTCAGAATGTAGAGCAGAATAAACAACCAAAGAGGTATTGGTTCTATGGGTCCAAGGGGGGCGTCACCCCCCCCACAACTGAAATTGTTTGGGGCTTCACCCAAAAGAAACAACGGCGCAGCGAATGTGTGTTCGAACAAACAATATCAAGCAGCGCTCTTTGATGCAGTGCGCACATGTGTTTGGTTTGATCCAGCGGTGAACAACTCGAACTGAAGCAACATGGAAAGTTATCTAGTCATCTCCATGGAACTCATAGCAAAGAGGGGGAGCGTTTCCTTGTCGCTTTCATTCTTTGCTTCCTGCATTCCCTTTGCCCTCGTCAAATCCCAGCTCTCCTCTCTTCTTCTTGTTGATCTTCTCTCGTTTCAACCAGGCACACACGATTTGTTGTCATGACTTGTCCAGAAGATCCGAGCTCATCTCCTTGGTGAGCGGGTCCGCGAGCTTCTTCCATGTGGAACCCACCTAAGGCGGAGGACCTTGTTTTCCTCCACCGTCAAAGGCTATTTGCTCTTTGCTTGCCGTGCTTCCAGTATGATCACCACTTCAACCTTCAGCTGCTCTCTCCATTGAGGGGTGGTAACGAAGCCCTGTCGAAAAGAATCCGATCAGCTAAGCTCGAATGAACTACCCTTTGCACTTTTCCACTGTGAAATTCTAACAAGCTGGCCGCCAGCCTTGCTCGATCTGCTCTCTGTGGGTTTGGCGGCGACAAAATGGATCTCCGCTTGTTGCGCGTTCATAGCCGCAGTTTTCCTGAGTGAAGCGTCAAAATAAGTGACGAACAAAGGCTCTCCTCCTAGTGGGTGCCACATTGGTGGCCTGTCCTTCCTTAGCTGCTGGCTTCATTTTTCCAAGGAGTTGGTTCGCAGCTTCCAAGACCTTCCCTTTTGCCGTTGATAGACCTTGTGCCAAAGAGCTGACCTTTTAGATGAACTCTGGCATCACACCTCTGTAAGCAGACAGCTGCTCTCCTGCCATCAAGCTCCTTATTTTCAGTCGTGTTGACTTCCCTCTGAATCGAGACATACTCGTTCATATTATCGATGAAGGAGTTGTTCTCCCGAGTCTTCACTCCAAGAAAGGAGTTGTTAGTCTTTCTTCTCCCTTTTCTACCGATCTTCTTCTGAGCTTCTGTCATCTTCCCTGGAGCTTTTGCAAAGAATCCGTCATCTACATGGAGACAGAGTGAGTGGTGGTGTCAACTCATTGCGCTCCTTCATGATGAATGTGGCACGGCAAAGTTCCCTCAATGAATCCAAGCTCTTCTAATACTGTAACTGTAACTCCTTCGCTCTCACGTGCCAAAGACGTGGTGCCTCTGACAGTCCAGAATTCCTCATGGCAGGCAGTCCCTTGGGGGAGCTTTGATCACCACCGTCTCGAGAAAAGCCGTGCTGACATCAAAACATGAAGCTGCCCACTGCCGACTTGGCGTGATGATCTTGGGCCCATGTAGTCGTTGCATCTGAGCGGTATGAGCAAATGTGGGTCTTGATGTCTTGGGGCCTGGGACAACCAATCTTGACTTTGGTTGAAAGTCGCCTGCCAATGCCGTCTTGTTGAGTCGAATCAAAGGAGTAGGAGCTCGGGACACCTTCTTTGGATCTAAGTTCCTGATCTTATCTGGCAACCTCCTCACGACTTTGTTGTCGATCCATGAAGTCCACTCCTTGGTGTCATTTTCCTCAAAGGCCTTGCGCCTTGCTTCATCAAACTTAGATCCAATTCCTTTCTGTTTTGTTTGTTCACCAACAACAAGGCGTTCTTGAAAGCCTGTTGATCCTCTTCCTGCCTCCTCAGTGTCATCCACTCCTCATAGTCTTCTACTGTTTGTGACCTGATACACTCCATGTGGAAGCTCAACAAAAACCTGCCCTTGTTTCTGCGTTTTCCTCTCTTGGCACAATAAGAAGGTCACACCTCTCCATTCATGAGCCCCCCTCCTCTCTGGCCTCGCCTTCACTTCCTCTACTCTCCTGACAGATGAGAGCGGTGCCGCTCTCCTCTCTGAACATTTGCCCTAGTTTGGTGGCTTGTGGAGACGCTTCCGAGGAGCAATGTGATACGGCATGCTCGCGATGGGCAAATCCAACAGCTGAGCAATTTCTTGCACCTCCTGCTTGGATGCCCACTCATTGGCTCTTTCTTTGTTTGTGCCACGGCTCAACATTGTGTGGTGCAGGACTTGCTGCAGGACTTAGATTTTCCCCTGTGAGTCCCCCAGATGGCTCCTCGAGGTATTTTCTTTGCTTGATACGGGGC